TGACGTCTGTGGTGAAGGCATCCCTTGTACCTTTGACCTTCAATTTCTGAGCGTTGAACCTGAGTTGTGGCCTGTCTCCAGTTGTTCTGAAGGATTTCAGCTTCACCTTGAAGCTTCCTTGAAATAGATGATGGTCTGAGCACACATCTGCTCCTCTCCTCAACTTTGAATCCATCAATCCGCGTCTCCATTTCCTTGAGATTGCGATGAAGTTTGTCTGTTTTGTGGTGTGTCCGCCAATCGAAATCCATGTTGTCTTGTGTATATCCTTGTGCTTGCACGCACTGCTTCTAACTGCCATATAATTAGAAGTCTGCGAATAATTCCCCGTTCTCATTCATTTCCCTGAGCGAGAGCCTTTCGACCCATGATGAGTTCTCTTCCTATATTATCTGCTTCCAATTCAGCTGGCATTCATATCCACCATGAGGATTTTGATGTTTACCATTTGGGATGTTGTTCATTACTATTTGTAGTCGTCTGTAAAAATACTCCTTCTTTTCTTGTTCCGCATTGTTTATAGGTGCGTAGAATTTGGAAAATTGTTACCTTCCTTCCTTTACGGCTGAATCTTGGTGTCAGTATCCTGGATGAAATTGGTTCCCACTGAGTTAGGGATTTGGCTGCCACTGTTGATATCATGATAGCCACTCGGCGCCTCAGTGGTTTGTGTGCTCCTCAATAGAAGTTCTGGCTATTAGATCATCACTGGCACATACAAATGAAAAATCGAGATCTTTTATGGCCTGCTCCATAAAGCGATGAAATGATTGGGTGGCACTTCCGAGACCGAATGACATTCGTTGGAATTCAGACCGTTCAAAAGTTGTTGTGGGGTTGTTTTCTTGATTTTTTCGTGGGGAGTGGCCATTGGTGAAATGCGCTGATTAAATCAACTTCAGAGAAATAATCTTCACATTCAACCCAAAGGAGAAATTATTTGGGTTAGGAATGGGGTGGCGGTCAGGGACAGTGGTATCATTCAAGGCACGGTAGTCTCCACATGGTCGCCAGTCGCGTTCGGCCTTTGCTACTTTATGCAAAGATGAAGACCAAAGGTTGCTGATAGGTCTAATGATGTCTAGTCGTGCTATAACGGAGTATTTACTATTTTTGTGGTTGTCTAACTTGACCACAGTGCTCCTTCAGACACGACAATATGGCCAACTGATCACTTGAAAATATTTTCCAACACTGAGATAGACACAGAATCCTGATTTAACTGCGACAACCACAACAAAACCCCTTACTATTCGCGATTTGGGGCAAATATATCTTTTTTACACCCACGGGAATTAAAGTCATATATACATAACCAGCATTTGAGTGATTGCTCGACCTTGAATATCATCCAAAATAAATAACTCAAGGTTTGTCCTGTCAGGTTACGCCAGTGCATGCATTTCGTACGTCCTAACAGTGGCACCAAGTGTTCCAATGAGGCTTTAACCACCTATGGTATATAGGTGAGGTGGACATATTTGTGCAGGTTTACACGTGACTGAACGCACTCTACAGAGTAAGGCGGTTCGAGAATTTTAGGAAAATATTGCAATAAGGTAGAAAATGTGCAGTTCCCCGGTTATATTAGTTAATTTGTGGGAAACTAAACAGTGAACACAGGAATTGTATGAAATATCAGCGTAAAAGTCCAAATTAGAAGAGATACTTAAACATTATACTGCAGTTATTAAGACAAATGGGTTATAAAAGAATACAGTTTCTAATAGCAGCAAGTCCGATTCCACAAATTTAGCAATATAATCCGGGGGTACAGTTCAAGAGGTATGCGTCGACGGCATTCTCTCCACAGTGAACGTTGCTGACAGGTTGTTGAATATTTTTGGAGGAGGGTGAGGTAATCCTGTAAATTTCAAAATGTGCACCCAGGAAACTGGTATAATGAACTAAGAGTTGTGGAGAGTTTGTGTTTTGAATCATGCGGACGGAGTCATTACGAAGAAGAAGATCCTAATTAAAGGAGAAGATATACACGATTTCATGTTTTGGGAAGTCATCATTCTGGACTCTATAAATGTGAGCCTATAAATCTGTAAATTTCGTAGCCATAATGGATATTTTTCTCGCTACACAACTTTGTGTCCTGAATTGTATAAGTCGATGTTTCGTGTTCATCTGTTGGTAACGTTTATTATTTATTATTTCACGAGTGAAGCTTCTACAATCATTATTGCGTGGATGTATTTCCCTTTCATAAAAAACCAGCAAATGAACTAAGATTTTGATCAAAACATTATTTATTAGGTCTCAAGGGGAAATCCTTACTTAGTCGACGTATATGTAGACTGAATGTAGTCTTCGAGTGTTATGAAATACATTTAATCCCTTTTCTGGAGAAAATTATATCTCTCTGTTTAAATTTCTTTCTGATTTTAGCTCAAAACTTAAATGACTTTCAAGGTCGCACACAATGACAACACTAACACCGCTCGTTTAAAATTTACACCACTAATAAAAAAATAGAATGTCTTCAAATCACGTTCTGCCAGATTTGTAGAATACAATTTATACGTGAGTTGCGAAGCAGCTTCATAAGTAATCACTTGAATAATGGATATATTAGGGGAAAATCGTTTGTATGTAAACGATCCTAGTACCCACGCAGTCGTACAAAAATGGGAAAGAATAGTTTAATAATGGTTAAAACAGACAGATTTTGGCAGATGATAAGATTGGTAAGGTAGTGGCAAAATGTATGTCAAATTCTGGTCAAATTTGACCGTTATAAATAATGGTCAAAATCTTGTCGTATAACCGAAATTCGCTCATTTTCTTACTATTCACCGTGTCCACCACTTGGTTATTATTCACTCAGTGTTTAAAACTGTTCTCCGACTAGGACGTCAAAATATGATCCTCGTGGATCTTGGAATTCCAGCCTCAAGTTATTGACTAACATAAATTTAGGACGAAATGAAAGGCGAATTTAATTGCCAAAACAACTTCATTGTAATTTTTCATGGTTGTTTCATGCATTGTCGCCGAGAAACCCGAAAACTATAGTGGATAGTAATATTCGCTTGAGCAAATTAAGAATGATGACTTCGCATGAGATTTTAAAACTTGCTTGTCATTCGCAAATGAGCATCAGAACAGCATGCTGTGTGTTGGAGTCAATAAAACATTTACTGTTCTACAAACAATGGGTACTCTCGGAACAGCTTAACTATTTGGCAGCATTCTGAATGTAATTATTGTCACATTGTTGCTTTTCAAACTATATCATTTGAGCGTTACAATCTATCTGACATTTTTCTTGATGACTTCAGCACTTTGAAGGTATCTAGAATAGTGACATTACGCTGCATGCTGTCAGCTACATTCATCCTTAACAACCCATCCTCAACTTATTCCAAACATTCCAACGCACTTGTTATACAGTTCTTAGTTAGCAGTGTCACTGTCTTTACTCCTGTTTCTTTTGCACGCTCGCGTTTAATATTTTATGTGATGTTTGACCTAATTGAAGGCGGTTGACGTAGTTATTGAAAAGTGGATTTACAGAGTAAATATAAGCTTAACTTGAAACTTTTGGAGTTTTGGTTGACTTCTGAAAAACAGGTGTATTGGGTTCGGAGTCCACATCTACCATGATCCGGATTGGATAGTCTTAGGGTACAATGTCAGCAGTTGACCTGATGGCCAGTTTTTTGTTACTGTGAATTTTAGCCATGAATAATAGCGTGCTGGTTGGTCTACTTTGACTTACTGGCTGAAAACCTTGAAGTGACGAATGCATAGGCTCTGAGTGCTGTCTCTCCAGTTCCAGTTGACCAGTCTGTGCTTTGTCGGGATTATCTGAAAATGAAGTTCAGTTAAATTGAATACATACTGAATTTGACCAGTAGTATACATTTGCAACACAGTGAGCCGGGCTACATTCGTCTTCGGAGTGCAGCGTCTGTCCATAAACGACAGCAGGTTGTTAGAAAACCATGAGATTAATAATAAGATGAAATATGGCTTCACATTTACCGCATTCTTGCACAGAAATGTTCCCGAACATCTGTGTAACTATGGCTCTGGCTGGGGCATCTCAAACTGCACATATGAGTGCAAGACCTAGTTTATATCCGCTTGGTAAAAGTAGGTCGTTTCTACATTCCGTATCTACCCTATTACTGGTATTCCTTGAGAAAATATGAATACCTAAGGGCTTAGGTGGACCACAGTAAACATCTGCCAAAAAGGCGTCACCATGTCCTATCACCAGTAGGTTTCCTTTGATTGGCCACATTCCTCCACTGGAACTATTGAAAAGTTGAGCTTCATCTGCACTGAGCTGAATCCATATTAGTTCCAGAATTGCATCAGAAACAGTTAGACGATGAAGTCTGACTTGACAGCGGGAGCCAACGTGAACATATATCCTCGAACTAATATATTTTTGTGTTCCACAACTTCTGTCCTCGCCAGTGTTCATGGGTTAGTTTTTATATTGCGAAGAAATGGTTTTTTGCAGCATCACTCAATATTCTTCTATACTTAGCTTGCATCTGCGTACATTGTTGGGCGCGAAATCCTTAATTGTATGCTCTTTTGTTTAATGAACAATTGCAGTAGGACAAGGATGTATTTTACTGTGTTGCTGCTTTCTTTTTTAATCACCACTTTAACTCACTAAAATGCTTTGTCCCACTGGAAGATTTTGAACGATGTCCTTGTAATCATGTTGAAGAATTCCTCAGTTGAAATTTAGATTATCTTCTCAGTGAATTTAAATTTTACTTTTTCGCACATCCTATGCAAAACTATTGTATGCCATTAGTTAGTGTCGAGAACACTGCCACTGTCCGGAAGAATTACGACTGATTCATCACTACTAGAACCACTTAACTGGTTATATTTGTTTTTATATGTAACACATCGAGATGATATTAGAAGCAAGCACTGAATTGTTTATTCTTCACAAAGCAAAAAACATTAGCCTCTATTAGCTGTTATAAAATGCCAGAGTATCGTGTACTTAATATTATTTTTAAGTGAGTTCATTCACTCACACTACCATATATAATTAATGTCTCACTCTGTCCAGTCATATTTGTAAGTCACTTCTCAAAAGGCATTAACAAAAACATTTTCTATTGATGAATTAAGGCTTTTATTAGTATCAGTATTCAAATTTTCTTTATTTATCTCGTATTTTACAGTTAAAAATAGCTGAATAGTCATGTGATCTATTTCGCTTATGTATCAATGAACAGACCAGACACAGCTTAATGAAATGGAGGCATCTCCAGTGAGTTTACGATTAAATATTTAGTGCTTTATCGTTATTGTAAGAAAGACAACGATGATGTTATTGATCGTTACGGATTTTTGGGAGGTGTACAGTTCTGTGAACCAGATAGCAAGTGAGTTCATGTTATATTTTAAATAAATGTATGTACACAGCAAACTTTCTGATGAATCTTTAAAAAAACTTCGCCTAAAAGAAATAAAATGGCAAACTATGCTTACTGAGTGGGACAAGTGGATGTCATTTAATGCGAATAAAGTAAGAAATCGATGTCGAAAGGGTATTCCACCAGCAATACGTCCAAGAGCCTGGCAATATCTCTGTGGAAGTTATCATTTGTTTAGCCAGGAACATGGAAAGTATCAGGTAAAGGTTAATGAATTTTGAATTATGTTTTTCCCACTTAAATTCTAATAAACGTCGTTTTGCTTATCATTAAAATGTATTAGCTGATTTAATTAACGAGCTTCGCTACTCCTTTGCCAGTTTTATTGTGATCAAGAACTAGATAAAGAATTTTAAAGGCTGAACTTTGATAGATGAGTTACAGTTCTTTAATATCAGACTATGTTCAAATAGAATAGAAAAATAGTTATTTCTTTTTTATACCTCAAGTACTAGCGAATTCACTTTTATTTATTTTGATTATAGCTTGATTTCACCCAGTAATTTTGGTACAAGTATGGCATTTTCAGCATGTGTTATCGGTAGCCCAAATTTTGCAGGCCGACCATTGATATCAGGTGTGCGTCGGCAGGGGATCGAACCCGGACCATGTGCATGGTGGGCGATAGTGCTGACCGCCGTGCCACCGACGCCGTCAGGCTGTGACCAAGACCTTCTCAAAGCTTTCTCCTAGAACTGATTTTTTTGACAAAAGTACTAAAACTTTATAATCGTTCGATTATTCCACCTTAACTTATGAAGTATCTAAGAAAGATTTCTTCATGACTTTCAGGATTTTCACACTACCTTGGAAATCTGAACTGTAGACAAATAGTACCAAATTCAGAAAACTTACAGTTAAGTTTAAGTAACAAAAAGTCTCATCTGAAACTGTATGATATATGTGAACTAGATGACAGAAGTAACTTCGTAGAACTTCTTTGCCGGGAGACTTTTGAAATCAGTAAGCCGGAAGCTCTCAGTCTAGGTTCTAGGCTGATTTATATCTGAGCTAAATGTCATGTCTCGATTCTTTGACACACACAGAATATCACTGGGGTGCCAGTGCATACATATTTCAATTTTTCCCCATGAACCTAATTACTGAGTCTAGCTTTAACGCCAAAGTGGATTTAGTTTCAGCTGTCGAACTAATATTGCTTTCTTTAAGATTACAAGGATAATTCTTTAGTAAATTGCAACAGGCCAAGAGTGTTTAATAAATGGCTTCTTAACATTTAATGAATAATGTTTAGAAACAGGTTATGGGGTAAAGTCAGTCTTTTTTCTCCAAGCACAATACACTGTTGTATATTACACCCACTGGGCTATATAATTCTATCTTTTCATCATGTATGTGAAATTTTTATGTATTTTGTGAAAACTCATACCCTTTGGAAGCATAACTTATACGGTCACAATTAAGTGTGATATGATCTTCTAGAAGTCATTACACCAACTAGCTATTAAGAAAAGGCAATGCTTTCTAACGTGTAAGATAAATTTTTATTCCCCACTTAATATCTGCTAGACAATGGTAAGAAGAAAGCTTTTATGTTTAGGTAGTTTCCACTTTCACTACTGTTTAATAGTAACTGACGATGCAATCTAACTTCTAAACATTAACTCATATTGACGTAACAAGGTATGGTATCGAATCATCTGTATAGTGAGACGACAGATTGGTCTATAAATCATGAAAATCAATAACAACACTTGGGTTATAAATTGGGATTACAAATCTTATTTCGTCAGTGGTATAGAATGTACTATACTAAACAGCTCCGTATTAAAGAATGTCTAACTGGTTATTGTTGGGTTATCAATATAGATATAATGGTAAAGATTTGTAGCTCAAGTGGATGATTTTGACGTAGTTGTATTCTCTGAACCGGATGGTTTACTTGAGAAGCCTTCATTGACCTACTAGGCAAAATCTTCACAGCATACTTCAGTTTGAAGTGAGCTATAGAATTTCTCCACGAGTTTACTAATCATCTCTCCTGATGACCGTGAACTTGACTGATTGCTCTTGTCTGTCTTCACACCCTCTAGTCTACTGGTGTTGGTATTGGTTGTTTCCTTGATCTGAAGTTTGGCTTTTTGTGCATGAGATTTTCCTTTCATGAATTAGTAAATTTTATCTATGTCAGTGTGCCTGTTAATTGTCGATTCACTGGAAAGCCAGGCTTCCGAAAATTCCCTAGCGTTCTTGGTGTTCCCTCTTCCTAACATATGAACGTTGTCCCAGTTGAATTGGTTGTCTGTATGCAGCTATATGAGGGAGTGGATATCATGTATTTGACGGCTAGTTTATGTTCATGGATACGAAGACTAAGGGGACGTCCACTTTGGCCAATGTAGTGTTTTTCGCAGTCATTGCAACTTATTTTGTAGATGATGTAGTTTTTATCTTCTTTCGCTGTCGAGTCTTTTGGTTGACACAGAGCCCAGTGAAGTGATTTTGTTGGTTTATGTGCAAGATAAATTCCTAAAGGTTTGAAGAGTCTTGCAGTGATTTCTGAGACGTCCTTTATATATGGTAAGATGATTTTCTTTGTGTTTTCCTGGGGGGGGGTTTGATTTGGTTGGTTGGCCAAGACAGCTAGCTACTAGGGGAAATCTTTTCCGCTAAAACTGGTAGGAATATATGCTTGTGGTGAAAATCTTAATAACTAATCACTATTTAATATTTTTTATTGCTACAGAGACTTTTGGAAATGTCAGGTGATCCAAAAATAATTTCACAAATCAAACTAGATATTGACAGACAATTATCTAATCACATTATGTTTGGATCGGACAATACCAACGGGTGAGCACATGTTGTTTATGCTTTGAAATAATGTTTCACACCGAGTATTCCAAAAAGAAAGAAAGAAAGAAAGCAAAACGAGTAGTAGTTCAGTGAAGAGGATCTTTTTGGCGAATTCATTTTCTTTTCTTGTACAGTCACATTTACATACAACTTTTTTCACAAAAGACAATAGTAATGAAACGTATGAGTTGTTATAATCATAGTTGCTAATACTAAACAATACATGAGAGAAACTGAATAAGGGTATTAGAGTTACGTACTGAAATAAATAATCTGATGAATGAGTTGTAATCAGGATGCACATAGAAACGAAGGACAATGTGATATTGCTTAGGAGTAGAAGTGGTTGATGAATCCTATTTGTGTACAAAGCTCCGGTTTCTGTATCTGGGTGATTAAAATTCAGCAGTGCAATGAGGGCGAAAGCGTACTGTCTTTGCCAGGTTGTTCTTTACTTTGTCGATCACTCTGAAGGAGGAATTTGTTAAAGTAGAATGATTATTGTCGACAAGATGTTCAATTATTGCACTTCTTATGGAGCCGCTACTCACATTCTGAAACCATGAGGGGAGGGGCTCTTGAGTTCTTTTAGACAGGATACGTGTTGAATGATCAATATATCTGGCTACACAGGAATAGTTGGACTGATATATGCACACAGAAGTGGTAAAATGCAAGATCTTCTTTTCAAGTATTGGTTTTTGTAGGGATTATTGTTTGATTGGTTGGAGGATTTCATCATGGGCTGACATCAGTTAGAGAACCATTGGAAAATCTGGGAGTACTGGACAGCTGTTTCGTACTAGTTTGTGACTCCTGGGTTCTAACCGTGGTGGGTGCGTACTGCAAGGTCTTTTCTTTCAGGCTTCTTCAGACCAATGGACTGCCAGAAAATACTACTGTCAGCGTTGCTGAGAAGAATATTCTTCTCAAAGGTGTTGAAATTCCTCTCGTATGGCCACATCAGGTTAAGTTTCCTTGAAATTAAGGTTCATGTAAAGTTTCTTTTTCGACACGGACGATGTTTCATGTCTCTAAAGTTTCGGTTTGATGTTCTTATCAATGAATCACATCACGATCTCATCTTTTTTCTCTCTAAATGGTGTTACTGAATCTGAATTGTACATTAAGGTCACATCTCAGTAGTCGTTCCTTTAAATACGTTTTTGCTATTGTGATGTTTAAAAAAGCTCCATATCGATAATTTTGGTTACTACTATATAGTAAGTTGTTTATTTGTCTGTGGTATGCACTACAGAATAGTTGTAGTAATTGTCATAGAAGTCTTCCCTGCATTCATCATTCTCCAATAATTGGTTTTGACATTTTCTTATCCTTGGTCAGTTAACTATTATCTAGTAAGTTCTGTCTGAAGTTATGCCATCAAACACTGCTTTCTATTACTGAGAGTTTCTAAACTAGTAGTAGTGTAACTTTTGGAGTTAAAGCTTATAGCCCTGGAAGGTTTTTCCGTATTTCTAGTGGATTTCTTTAAGAAACATGTAGACTGATTCATAAATAAGTTATATTTATTCATCATTCAGATTGAATCTAGAATGGGACACAAATATTAATGACTTCAAGTCTTACGAAAGATGAAAACACTGTTGCAAACAACAACCAAGGCAAATTAGCAAACTCTAGAGGACTTTTAGAGTTTTGTCCAGAGGTAAATAGTTCAGTTGGGATTTAGTCTGACATATGATGGTTATTAGAGATCTCATTTCTGAGAGTGTAAAAAAGGCAAACTTGATGAGCTCTATAAGTATTCTAAAGCTTTAGTTCATCATAATATCATGAGAAATGAATGTATGATATACATACTGAAAGATACTGCTGTGTAAAAGTTGTTCGCTAGTTTTGCGCATAAAGCATGAAACCTCAGTCCTATGCTATTATGTAAACCTCATCAAAACACTTTACCCATTGTTGCAAGTTCATATATTTTATTATTACAATGTATTGTTATTGACCTATCTAATTCCTATTTATTTACCAGAAAAGAATCTCTATACAATGTTCTCAAAGCGTATTCACAACTACATCCTGAAATCGGTTATTGTCAAGCTCACGCACCAATCGCTGCAGCCCTGCTTATACATATGCCAGAAGAACAAGCATTCTGGACATTTGTCTGTTTGTGTGACCGATACATGGCTGATTATTTTAAATCAGGTCTTGTAAGTTACTCTATACCTTTGTATATTTACGATAATATCTCCACAGATGAACAATAGACTGTCTTTTGAAATGAGTTTCGATAATTATTAGTTCGTTAAATCAACAGGAGAGTATGGCATTTGTATTCTCAAGTGCAGAAGTGAATACTATGAACTTACTGATGTTTGCCATATAATAAAGGTCAACATCAAGTACACTGTCTCCAACACAAACCAGAACTAAGTCACATTACATGGCTTAATAATCACTGAATATATTTCTGTGCATAATGCAGTCTTTAGAGTGGTACTGTGGTGAGAGCTGTCTACTAGCCAAATTGGTAGACAGTAATTTACGTCAATATTTACGTCCTCAAGATTAACTTTACGTGAGAAACAACCAATCGGAAGACTGTGTTTGTTTGTTTACATATCCATAGTAATGTACATGAAAACATATATAAATATGCGTTGATTTCCTTAATAAAGGATCTGTTGCCTGACTCTTGCCTTCTGTCGTTACAGTACTTATTACCTCCTGATGAGTGGTTAGTATGGTAAAAAGATCTGTGATGAAAAATAATTCTTACTTTCTAAAAGGTATTGGCTTTCTTAAAATTTGTGGAAAACACTATCACATAGATATTAGCTCATGTGTCAACTTAAATTTTTTTCATGACTTGATTTCCGAATGGAACAAAGGACTCCATGCTTGAGACCTGGTAGTTTTAGTAGCCGTGCTATTGTTTTTCCTGGTTGGGGGTTCTGGCCTTACGTCCAGTCTTCCCTCTTTTCTGGACTTACTGTCAAAATAGACAAAGTTTAGGAGAGCGCTGGTCAGGAATCGAGCCTCCGACCACGTGCTTGATTAGCGAGCACTGTACCACCGAACTACCGATACACTGTTATTTTCATTTAAAAGTTTGACATCACCTCAAGAAATAAAACTGAAGGGGGATACTTTTTAGGATCTAGTGTACACGTATATCTGAATTTATGATCTTTACAGTTTATATAACTATTGTGATAATGATTTATTCCAAAAACGACATAAACAATAAGCCATAAGTTCATAGAAACTTTTCATTTCCCCAGTCAAAAAAGAAAATTAATTTATTAGGATGGCCTAGTCAGTTTAATTAATTTTCATAAATTGGTGAATGTCTATATTTTTAAGCGTTTGTTTATAGGGACTAATAGGCTACATCAAGTTGAGTGTGGGGGCAAATACTCACCATGACATTCTCGGGCCGTTGTGCTGTATATCACAAATTGTCAGAAATTAGAATTCATAGGCAATTGGATTCTCTTCCAGGGGTTGAGTGGTCAACGGGCTCGCATCATAACCTAAAGCTGCTAGTCCCTCTAATTGAAGTCGGTTCATGATGTAAATTGAAAAGTTTGAATTCCTTACTGATATGCTAAAATACAGCATAATTAATCAAAATTGGACCATTTGGCGAGATACTGTCGCTGATTTGTAGGAACCTTTTATTACAGCTGTAACTTCAGCGTCGGTGGCACAGCGGTAGAATGCTCGCCAACCACACAGATGGTTCGGGGTTCGATCCCCGGAAGACGCACTCCTTTACCTCGCTAAGCCAGTAATAAGACTGGTAAAGAGGGAAGGTTGGGCATGAGGCTAGCAACCCCATCCCGTTGTAGTGGACTAAACGACTAAGTATGTTCATACGCGCAATTAAAAGGGACAGAACAAATACTAACATGTATGTATATATAAGGTATTCAGTCCACTTAAGTTAACATACACAAAAAATGGAGTTATTTGAAAAACTATAATAGTTCCAAAATACTCAAAATATAGACGTACAAAGTGATAGGGATGAAATTGTCCTTTTCTTGAGTATGCAAATCGTCAACTACACACTAGAGATGCCAACTGCCGGAAAGTGCTTCCGCAGAGAAAAGTAGATTGGAGCGAAGTATCCTAATGTGGATATGTCGATCGTTACGAGGCAGAGTTGGTTGACAGACGGGATGAGTGAGAAGCTGGAGAGAAGGAAGCTTCGTCTGTGTTGCGCGCGGCAACCAGGTTGTGTCCTTGTTCAATCTCACATAACAACCACGAATTTCTTTGAATTCCTTATTTTTACTATTTTTCAGTAAACGTATAATTCGATATGTTTTTCGGCCACCACACCGTAAAAACAAACACTGATATGGAATCTTCAAATTCTCTATCTTGAAGCCCTATGTTCCACTGGGAACGTAAAGGAATGAAAAAATGTAACTTTAAGGGACAGAGATAAAAATTCAAGTTAGATCACTAAATGATATTATTGGAGAATCACTGAAAACCAGGGAGTACTAGGCAGACTCTTTGTTCTAGTTTGGGACTCTTCGGAAGTACGCATGCATGATTCCATCTAGGATCGAACGTTGACCTTAGTCTGTGAGGCAAAACAGATGACCTCTGGTGCGATTAGGGGCGCGTGTCACTGAAGATTCTTAAACGGGGACAAAACAGCTGTTCAGCACACTCTAGTTTTGAACGGTTCTCTGACTGATGACAGCTTGTGGTGATTGACAATTTCTATCTTTGTATTGTTTAAATACTTACTGTTGTTTGTTAATATATTTATTATTTTGATTTGAAATGCAATTCCGCCAAATACAAATTCCTAAATTCATCCCTCTCAGTGTTTTGGTTGAATTCCTGTAATTCGGTCATTGCGAAATACAATACTACTATCACAAATAATAATCACATTTTGGCGTCGCGAGCAGGATTTAAATAATCTTGGAAAGTTTCCTATAAATGGTTCACCGCGGGAAATCTCCGATTATCTTGAAAGTTTCGACGCATGGTGCATGTCGAAGAATGTTCGCGATGACAAAATTCCAGCTCATTTTATTACTGCTATTGGGCTAGATGCGTACAGCCTAGTGAAAACTCTGTCATTTCCAGATAAACCAATTTCTCTGTCTTATGATAAACTCCGTGAACTTTTAACAAATCACTTCCACATAACAACTTTCGAAACACGAGAGAGGGCTCAGTTCAACAAACTTGTTCGTGCTCCCAACCAGAAGATTGGAGACTTTATTCTTCAACTGCAGATACAAGCTTCAAAATGCAACTTTGGAGATCAGCTCCATACTCAACTACGTGATCGTCTAATTGCTGGAATCAATATTCCTAAGTTGGAGAAAGAGTTGGTTCAGATACCTCCCTGCACCTTTCAAACTGCCAAAGATTTATGTATTACGTATGAAGATGTCAACAGTGACTACCCAGCTGCCACTACGTCAGAGTCTGATGTCATGCTGTCCAAAGTTGATAATAAAAGTGTTCATAGAAAGAAATCCAAACTGCCGTCCACATGTAATAGAATACAGACAGAAAGCAAGAACACAGCTCGTGGTCTAACTTGGAGTGAATCAAATTCCTGCAAACCAACACTTAGAAAATAAAAATCTGTCAGTATATTTTGCATTTGTTATGTACTAACAGCAATAAGCAGCACTAGGATGTTAGTTGACTGTCAGTATTACGTAACGAGAAAGTCAGCTGAGACTGAAAGATATCTTCACTTCAGACTGTATGTCCGAAAGTCGTAGACTTAAATTTATGGATATTCAAGTATTGGTTTGTAGGGATTTGATTGATTGGTTACAGAATTTCATCATGAACTGACATCGGTTAAAGAACCATTGGAAAACCTGAAGGGGGTACTGGACAGCTGTTTCGTGAGACTAGTTTGGGACTCTTCGACAGTACGCACCCAGGACCTTCTAGATACAAGGCGAGCTCTTAGACCATTAAGCCACTGGGGTTCTATCTAATGGCCATTCCATGAATTCCAACTTCTGCCAATTCACGACATAACGCGATCATTAGCCAGTGTCTTCGGCGAGTATTTGTCCTCACTCCCGACCTCCTATGGAGACGTTTATTTCTACTTTATAAATGAAGTGTGTCATTTTGCTTGGATAATTGTGATGATTAAGTATTTATGTATGTATTTGCTAAACCCAAGTGGATATCACTCAGCTAAAGGGTTTTATAAGCATTTATTATGAAGACAGTTTAACCAGAATGAAACCAGCTGCAGAATAGCCAGAGCGTTTGCGGGACTGATTAGCTATATTAAGCAGCTTTTACAATAGTTTCTCCAGGAATGGTAAAGTGTATGAATTAACTCATTAGAGCTGAGTTTTATATAATTAGAAACTCATTTTGCAGCACTTTTAAAGTTTTAATTTTTAACATTACTTTCTTTCCAAGTCAACAGCACATATTTTGCTTTACTTTGTGAATAAAGAGATTCCTTCATCTTCAAGTCAGTTCTTGTGAGAATCTCTTTGGTATTAGAACAAAATGGTTGGGCTAAATAGCTCAATAAATTTAATTTAAAACTCTTCATTGGAACGTACTCATAAACTTGTGAGGGTTCGAGTTTAGGATGTACAGCTTTCTAAATGGAAATATTAGCATTCACTTAACAGTTTGAGGTCCATCTATAGCCTATGTCTTTCACATTCCATCACTCAGTTAATTGGCACAATATTTTCAGTGTTACTGCGGAGCAACTATCCCTGAACCTGAATTGGTGAACCCTAAACGTCATAACTTCCCATTAGAACTTTCTCAAACTCATAATTAAACTGATTACTTGTCATTAGTGCACTGAAATTAGTTGTTCGACTTATTATTGTGTCAGCTGCAGTAAATAACTTCCACAAAATATAACTTCTGACCTCTTTATTATGACTGTCATGTGGTTGTTAGTGATCATCATGCAAATGCCTAACACTTTGGGGGTAACTAAGTGTGTCTGTTATTTTTGTCTCCTTATGTGCATCTAAATGTAACTCATTAAAAACTTTGTTTCACACATCACTACCTTTCGGTATTATATATGAGAGCTGTTTTGTATTTATTTCGGTTATATAACAGTAACCTTTTTGTATTTCAGAAACACGTTTTATGATAAGTCATCAGCATTCTAACTGTCGCAAAGACCAGACTCTGTATCGTGATTATTGTGTGTCATGACTGAAACATTAAACTAAATCTTACAGATGACTTGACTGGTTTTGCCTGAAGGCCTTATGACGAATTGACATTATTACATCAAGGATTCAAATGTGTTACATTTCACTATTTTTTTTAGAAATAAATCTTTCCGGAGGTATGACTGTTGGTTTCAACTGTTTTCTACAAGAGAAGAGTAAAAAAGAAATAAGTTTTTTGTTTTTAATGACTTGATTTATTTGTAATGAAAACTTCAAAAAAACATTATCTTCCTTTTATTTGTTGTTTGAAAGGAGCGTGTTAAAATTGAACTCAACATGTTATTTGCTTTAGTGAAGAAGTATCAACCGGAGATATACAAACATATGGTATGTTTTTAAAAATATATATATGTAGTGTGCTATTTACCGTACTCTGTACCAGTTAAATATTATAATCCAGAATTGTACAGGAATACATAGGACTATAACTACAATTGGTTATTGACATGAAATAAAAATCTTTTTGATGTGGTTGTGTTCTCTGAGCTGGATAGTTAATTTGCAAAGCTTTCATCACCCTACTAGGTGACATCTTCAGCGCTCACTTCAATTTGAAGTGAGCTTTTAGATTTCTCCACGAGCTTATTAATCATCTCTCCTGGTGGGTGACATTAAACGTGATCGGTTGCTTTTGTGTGTTTTCACACCTTCTAGGCTACTTGTATTGTCACTCATTGTTTCTTTGACTTGAACTTTGACCCTTTGTGTGTGAGGTTTCTTTCTTATCGGTTGATAAATTTTGTCAATCTCGATGTGTCTATTGATTGATGATTCACTGGAATGGCAAGCTTCTAAAAATTCTCTAGCATTCTTGTTGTTTCCTCTGTCTAATATTTGAACATTGTCCCAATCGAATTGATGCCCGTGGTTGTCTGTATGTAGTGATATGAGGGAGTGGAGATCATGTCTTTTGACGGCTAGCTTATGATCATGGATACGAAGATGAAGGGGACGTCCACTTTGACCAATGTAGTGTTTTTCGAAGTTGTTACAATTTATTTTGTAGATGATTTTGGTTTTATCTTTCTTCGCTTTCAACGAACATAAGCTAGCCGTCAAAAGACATGATCTCCACTCCCTCATATCACTACATACAGACAACCACGGGCATCAATTCGATTGGGACAATGTTCAAATATTAGACAGAGGAAACAACAAGAATGCTAGAGAATTTTTAGAAGCTTGGCATTCCAGTGAATCATCAATCAATAGACACATCGAGATTGACAAAATTTATCAACCGATAAGAAAGAAACCTCACACACAAAGGGTCAAAGTTCAAGTCAAAGAAACAATGAGTGACAATACAAGTAGCCTAGAAGGTGTGAAAACACACAAAAGCAACCGATCACGTTCAATGTCACCCACCAGGAGAGATGATTAATAAACTCGTGGAGAAATCTAAAAGCTCACTTCAAATTGAAGTATGCGCTGAAGATGTCACCTAGTAGGGTGATGAAAGCTTTGCAAATTAACTATCCAGCTCAGAGAACACAACCACATCAAAATCATCCACCTGAGCTACAAATCTTCTCCATCATATCTAAAAAAAATCTTAGACAGACTTACGTCTAGGACAAGGTAACAGATTCAGTCACTGTCAACACCGATGTATTTATTTATGAGTATACGACATTAGGTATGATATTCTTCAATTATTACGTAAATTTGAGTATTTAGTTAGAAACTAATTAAATATTGAGAAATAACTGATTATTTTACATAAGTGTTAGATGTATATTAATGACAACGAACTACCACAATGCTGAAATGTTCTAATTATATTTATTTATATTATTTACTATTTCATTGGGTTCCGAGTGGTATACAGAGCTTCAACAACACATCTCCACTTTGTTCTATTCTATGCTGTCCTCTTATCTGGGTCCGCGATTGACCATAATCTCTCATCTCATAAGTGAAGGAAGTAACCTTTGTTAAATCTCTCCCGTTGATGGTGATTGGTTCTAGTTGTTATTGTTGTTTGGTTGGTTATCTTCATCACCTCTGTCTTCTCTATGTTCATCTGGAGTCCTGTCTTCTCTGGCTGTTTCTTCTGCCAGTTTGTTATTTTTCACCAGTAAGTCTTCGAGTTTGTGCGACATCAGACATATGTCATCCGCGAAATCCAGATCTTCCAAAGTCTTCTTATCGGTGGTCCAGCGTATTCCTGTCTCCTCGCTCCCCACAGTCTGTTCTAATGAAATGCTTCAACCTTGAACACTTGAAGCTAAGTGGCATGTTTTAATACACGGGTATCTCTATTCATCTGTTTTGAACATTAGACAAAGATAGACAAAATCGCAAGTACCCAAGTCACTTCACAGTATAGTAAAACATAAATAGAAAGATACCGAAATAAAAATAATATCGGATACAATGAAAACAGATGACGATTATCAAACAACATAGGAAGTTAGAGACAATGAAGCTTGGACATGTCTGTTTCACTGTGGCCACTTTTGAAATACCTTTGGGAAAGTGTAGTTGTAACAACAGAAGACAAGGGCCAGGCAACAGATCACCCATATGCTAACTGTATCCGCCTACGCAAAGCCTTTCTTCTCATTTTCTCACCACCAGTTTTGGGACATAAACATTGACGTCAACTACTGTCTACCAACTTTGGCTAGCAGCCAGCTCTCACCACATAGTAATTAATTCAGCATGACTGACTGGCTGAGTTTACAACTCAAGAGCTTTAGATAATGGCGCAGAAGTTCAAGCCGCCACACTCCATAAAGCATACCAAGTAGAGGAAATAACTCTATGGAATTTTAAAGAACAAGAATGCCCTGAAGAAATAATAATTAAATGGACAATAACAGGAATTTATTGGATCTAGAAAATCACAAAGAGTAGATGCAACTGTGCCAATGGGAACGATTTTGAGCCATACTGCTAATAGTCTTAAGCCATTCGTTCCTAGCGTCTCGAGGATCCTAGCCAAGCAGTCTACATCTTTCTAAGTGTCTGGCTGAAATCAACAGTCCAAAGACCTCATGGAATGATTACAGATTTTGATTTGATTACCTTGGATTCTTTTACAATCAGTGACGAAGGCGATGGCCTGGCTGCTGACCTTGTGTGATAGCTGGGCTTGAAAATCACAATGATCCGATGAATTACACTGGCTAATAAGAATGTCCCTGACAATCTTACTATGTCACCAAATGTTTCGAGTTAGCAATTAGGTTTATGGCAGTTACCTTCAGTGTAAGTTGTTCAAACTGTGTTTAGATTCTCAGTGCAAATTGGGATGTAGCAGGAGTAAGGTGCTTCTCTGAGACGACCGGAATGTAAGGAACACTGTCTCTCTGCTCTGTAGAGAGGGGTTAGAAAAGGTCGACTCTGAAAACTGTACTTTCAGAATTATCTTGTGGAGGTTTGTAGCCCACAATAAGGTCCTCATACGGGCAAAACTCCTAAAATCACTTCAAACAAGCAGTTTTTCCATGAACTGTGCAGTCATCATAGGTTAATGTACCTTCTGTTTCGTGTATTTTAGGAATAAATAGATTTCCAAGGTGTAGGCAGACGGTAAGTGATAGCCGCTTTCACACTTCCACCAGCGAAAAAGGCTGACAGTATAAGACATGCTGCTAGATTATTCAAATACATTAGAGTAAATTCTAGTTTACTGATAATCTTTTGCATTTAAATAGCTTAGCGAAATGTCTTATATCGTCAGCCACTGACTCTTAACAAGTTGAAGACACCAGTCATGTGGCCTGAGCTACCCTAGGTGACTCAATCAATTCATGAATATTAGATCAAATTCCGTTCGATCTAGACAAGAGACAGGTAGAGCGAGAGCCGATATCAGGAAGGATGACGTTAGGCCATTATGGAAATACTTTTTTACAATTTCTTTTTGAACACCCTGGCAATATACGCTTATACTGTCAGTCTAGGACAAGTCTTTAATCATTACAAGAGCATAAAAAGGGTGGAAAAGTATCTCTGCAGCTAGTATTTGTTCAAAGGAATAGTATTCTGTTTCTTGTAGAAGAAACATCACCAGAAGATGCAATGCTGAAATTTGATTAGCCGTTACCAATCATTTGCTTTAATGAACTTATATTCTGCTTTAAAAATTATCGAAATTCTCTGGCTAACGATTATCATATCAGCTAATGTCACTCCAGTCTTTGCATTTACCAATAGGCAAGTGAAACTTTCCAAGCAGAATTTAAATAGCTCGTTGATTTTGAGTAAAGTAGTAGGATGCAATAAGAACTAAGTATGCTTTGCCATTTACTAGTATCATTAAAACAGTGACACTAAGAGTTGTTAAAGTGGACAAGAAAATGAGAGAAAGATTTCGTTCCATTGCAACATATTCATTTTACTTTAAGTAGAATTGTACTAAAACATAAAGGTTTATAATCCCTTTAAAGAAAGAAAGCTGATATTTACAACATTAATGTTTGAGTTAGGTAAGTTATACGTAGATATTGGAACAATGATTAAGCAAGTTATGCATTGAGTATTTTTGTTTTCTTACTAAGACAGCAAAGTTTTAAAAGCATGCTGAACCTCTGATTTTTTACTATGCTGTACAACAAAGCAATGGAAACTATTATTATTGTTCACTTGGGTTCCTAGTAGAACATAGGGCTTCAACTTCACGTCTCCACTTGCTTCTGTCTTCTGCTGTACTTTTCACTTGCGTCCATGTTATTCCATACTGTTTCATCTGCTCCTCACACGATCTCCTCCATGTCACCCTTGGACGTCCCACTCGCCGCTTCACTTTCGGGTTCCACTCGAACTATGGCCTGACGCGCGATGTCACCTACCAGCCTTCTCAGCGAGTGTCCAATCCATCTCCACTTTCTCCTGCATATTTGTTGAGCGATTGGCTCTTGTTTTGTTTCTTCCCATAGCTTCTTGTTTGTGATTCTTTTCGGCCATCTGATCTTCAGTATAGAGCCAGCGAAGACAGTTGTTGATAAAGGTCTGCAACAGGCTGTTGGAAATATTCTCTGTGACCCGCCAAGTTTCTGATCCATCCGTATAGAAGAACTGACTGACTTGACGTTTGTATTGAAAATCCGAATTTCGTTGTTGATGCTGAGTGTCGAAGATTTCCAGATTGGTTTCAGGTTGATGAATGTGTTTCTCGCCTTCCCGATTCTCGATTTGACATCCTCGTCCGTTCCTCCTGTGGTTGAGACAATGCTCCCTAGATAAGTGAATGAAGTAACCTCTTTCAAATCCCTCCCGTTGATGGTGATTGACGCTGGATGTTGCTGTTGTCGTTGTCGTTGTTGGTTGGTTATTTTCATAACCTCCGTCTTGTCTATGTTCACCTGGAGTCAGTCCTGTCTTTGCTGCTTCTTCGACCAGTTTGTCGGTTTTCGCTTGTAAGTCTTCGATTTTGTGTGACATCAAGCATAAATCATCCGCAAAATCCAGGTCTTCTAGGTTCTTCACCTCGGTCCAGGATATCCCTGTCTTCTCGTTTCCCACTGTCTGACGCATAATACAGTCCAGTCCACCACAATTAGGAATATCATTGGTGATAATAAGCACCCTTGTCTGACTCCTGTGTTTACTCCAAACGCTTCGCTGAGTTTTCCGTTGTGGATCACTTGACATGTGCCGTTGTCGTACAGTTGTTGAATAAGGTTGATGAATATTTGGGGTAGGCCGTAGTACTCGAGTAGTTTCCAAATTACTTCGCGGTCAACGCTGTCGAAGGCCTTCTCAAAGTCTATGAAGTTGAGGTAGAGATTTGATTGCCATTCCATGCTTTGTTCGATGATAATGCGTAGAGTTGCAATTTGGTCAGAACATGATTTGCCTTTCCTGAATCCAGCTTGTTCTGGTCGGAGTTCTGTATCCAGTGCGTCCTTTATACTGTCCAGGATGATGCGACTCAGGATTTTACTTGGAAACTAACTTATTATTATTATTAAATTCATTGAGGAACACTGATAGTAATAATAATTTATTCCTTTACGTTCCCAGTGGAACATAGAGCTTCAAGCTGGGGGAATCTGAATTTTCCATAGTAGCGGTGTTTATTTTTACGGGGTGGAGTTGCTAGCCTCACCTTCCCAACCTTCCCTCTTTACTGACCTTGCCACCGGCTTAACGAAGTTAAGGAGTGCGTCAGCCGGGGATCGAACCGCGGAACACACGCGTGATTGGTGAGCTTTCTACCTCGAAACCACCGACGCACACAAGTTCTAATATGCAGAGGATAAATTGATATCTGGTGTCTTAGTCAACGGAAGCAGATAATTTAAAGTAAATCATGTACTTCAAAAAAAAATCATCGTGAAATAATTTAAAGATTACATTCATTTTATAATTTATTTTAATATATTTTAATTACTTTTAAAAATAAAGGTGAAATGCAAGACAGAACCATTATATTTTGCTGTCGACTGGTTCATGTGCTTGTACACGCGTAATCTACCATGGTCTACAGTTCTTCGTATATGGGATATGTTTTTCTTTGAAGGTATTATTACTATTATTGTTATTATTATCAGTTACATTAACTCTCATTTTATTTTGCGTACGAATAACTTCTTAGATAGTTCACGATTAAACACACAATTATTTGAAGCATACATTTTGCTGTAGTGAGAAATTAATTTTCAAAATTTAATAATAATTGTGTCTTATATTAAACTTTAAACGAAACAGATTGTAAAATCTGAGAGATGTTTGTTTTCAAATACGCACGGAATTCGATAATCTGTCAAGTGAATAAGTAATTTAAAGATTAGTAGAGGAATGTGTTCTACCTAGAGATATAGAGTAGAATGTGAGCAAGAGATTTATCTTCGAATCTAGTTGTGAAGTCTTGAAAACCAAGGAGCACTATGCAGCAATTTCGTCTTTACCCAGGAATTCATATCCAAACGGAGGTTATGATTTGCAGCTTTCGCTGATTCGTGATACAGTACCACTGTCTACCAGCTCAGTGAATGAATGGGAATGTGACTTGACAGTTTTCGGATCAATTCTTAGCTTGATCTATTGACAGGTAACTTCAAGTGTTGAAGAAACAACTGTCCATAGCATCTTAGTTTCTAATGATTCTCCTGACTGATGTTTAGCAAATGAGACGACCAAGCTTTTTTGATATTTAATGTCTTTATAAATAATACTACTAAATCCAAGTTAGGGATGGTGCAAACTACACATGGTTCAGTAAAGTTAATCAGCGTCGAAAACTAGTGAGTGTTTTAAACTGTCGAGGACATTTAAGGCATGATGTCTCCTTTTAATTCACCTTGGTAACTTTTTCAGGTGTAGAAATTAACCAGTGTTTAACCTTTTGTAAAAGCCAACTACTATTTTGTACACCCGTTAAATATAGATCTTTAATTTGAGATCACATGATCGACTAATGCTTTCACAATCCTAACTTAATATTTTCACGTGACGTAAACAGTAGTGCGCATGTCACTCTCCCTAAACTCTAATTTGTCCCAATAGCTGTCATAGAGATCATTTCACTGGTTCTGATATGTCAGAATTTCACCTCCTCTCAACCACCTTAACAGCAGAACACAAGACTGGATAGCATGACATGTACAATATGATAACAATTTAAACCCCCGCCATATAAATATCTATCTGATACTATCATTTACTTCGTCGGTTTCTCATCATCTGCTTACAGCCTAAATAAATTATTATCAGGTTGATGTACAGAAAAGTTTCAACATACTTTATTATGATATCTCTTCTTTGTCTCCTTCTAGAAATTTACAAAGCTTAGTTGAGTACCGATTACTAAAAGTTCAAGAGTACACTTTCTGAACCAAGGAGACAACCCAGAAACAGTTACTTCATGTATTAGGATTAGCTGCCATCGAGGATAACGCTTCTTCTCAAGTTTAGTAGAAACTTGCGAATCAGCAGGTTGTAGACGTTTTAAATACTCACTTGAGTAAATAATACTAATTGAGGTTATATTTTACTAGATTCAATCAAATTGACTAAGAGAAATTAAATGCAATATGCTGATTAAGGTTTTCGGTAACCTAAGCTTTAAACAGGCCGCTGAGTTTATGGTACAATAATCCTTTAAAAAGAAATAAATAAAAAAATATGAAAACACTTTAATAAACTGTAATATCTGAATAACAAATAATACGAAAAAATATGAAAACTTTCAAGTATTGGTTTTGTAGGGATTTTGTTTAATTGGATGGAGGATTTCATCATGAGCTGATATCATTTAGAGAACCACTGGAAAACCTGGGAGTATTGGGCAGCTGTTTCGTCCTAGTTTGGGACGTGAATTGGCAGAAGTTAGAATTCATGGGCCATTGGATCGGGTCCCAGTGTCTCAATGGTCTACGAGCTCGCCTTGTAACCAGAGGGTCCTGGGTTCGAACTCTCTGTGGCGGGTGAGTATTGTTGAAGAATCCCAAACTAGGACGGAACAGCTGTCTGGTACTCCCAGGTTTTCCAGTGGTTCTCTAACTGATGTCAGCTCATGATGAAATCCTCCATCCAGTCAAAAGATGAAATATCAAAATAAAGCTTAAAAATAAGGGTGTGTCAAGTTCTTTGAAACAAATAAATAAATTTAGGCCAGTTTACCTTTACGAGGTCCGTATCTTCATTTCCCGTCGTTGTTTTACCGCCATTTCATATATTTCAATCAGGAATATAACTTTCTTACTGATTCCACTTCTGAAATATCAAAAGTAATCACCACATGGATTTGTAAATATTCATATGCGCTCTATTTGACAAAGAAAAATCCCCATGAGATAAGATAAGCTGTACACCACACTAAATTATGGAACCAATTACTTTTGTTAATATAATAGTGGGATTTGGTCACTACGTTATAGAAGATAATCCCATTTTAGATGAGTTTATTTGATATAAAACACGGTAATAAATTATTATTAGCTGGATGACGTTCTGGAGCACAGTTTATTACGCATAACCGTATCAGTATGTTCACACAACTTCCAATCTCCTGTTTTTTTAAACATGATTTCCAATATGTCTAGGATAGATATTGAATCATTCCTACTGCATGTATTTCCTGCTCACTCGATGAACAAGGATACGGTGATTAACCTCTCTATCTCTCCCTCCATCTAGATTACATTTTAATATTTTTACTGTATCCCTCCCTATTGTGTGACTGCATTGCAATGGCCAAGCCCTTTTCTAGACTGATTAACTTAGCAAAGGTAACCATTCTATCTGTGGCAAAATTTATGTGCTCCGATAATCAAACTGACCTGTTCTACCAACCGTATGCTGGTATGATATAGACAATGGGTTCCACAAGGAATAGAATTCTCACAGTAAGAATCATTGTAGATGTTGATGTTAACGTCTTCATACTATTCTCACAGTTCATTAACGAGTTAGCAACAGAATACTATATGTGTATTTGAACATTCTATTTCATGTCGTTTAATGTAAACCAAAATCACACGCTCAGTGATTGGTTAAAGAATATAAACCGTATATATAGATATAAATAGCTGTTTGATCATTTGGAAATATACCTTGGCTTCCGTGTCTTGCCTTCTGCCGTTACAATTTGACCTATTTAATTACCCCAACAGTCATTACACGACTTCTGTAAATTATATTACTTTACTGAATTGGGTCCACTGGATCCCTAAACCGACAAAGTTTTTTCTGAGTGAGTTAGTTAGTTTGAATAGCCATGTAATTCCATCTTTATTAAGAATCCTACATAGGGCTTCTAATTTACCTCCTTTATGAGGTAGTACTATCGAGGCTTTAAATTCCTCACTGCTTATATTATTTTTATTATTTACATAACTACTCTTAACCTCGCCTAGATTACTAGGTCACTAGTATTCTAGCCGGTCCCAAGCCCGGATAAAGAGGGAGGGTTGGGGCGTGGTGCTAGCAACTCCACCCCCAAAACTTAACCAAATTGCTACTAAAACTTCAACGCACAAATATATTCAAAATTCTAAAATTACAAATAGTGACCTTATTTTTCGCTGGAATCGGGGAAGTGAAATGACGCGGGCTGGTGAAAGCCTTCGGGAAGCCAGTCAGCCGATGTGCCTTCTTTCGATGAAAGCAAAAATAAGGATGGGGACGTGGAATGTTCGTACAATGTACGAAGCTGGGAAGGCTGCTCAGGTAGCCGCAGAAATGAGGAGATATAAAATAGAAGTGTTGGGAATCTGCGAGAGCAGATGGAATGGATGTGGAAGGAGCCAACTATCAACTGGAGAGACAATAATCTACTCCGGTCACCCAGAGGACAATCACGAGCACACCGAGGGAGTAGCTATCATGATGTCACCAACAGCGGCTAAAGCTCTCATGCAGTGGGAACCAATCTCCTCCAGGATAATGACAGCCAGGTTCAACTCAAAAGGAAAAAAGGTTACAATCATTCAGTGCTACGCGCCTACAAACGCATCAGAACATGAGAAGAAGGAGGATTTCTACAGTCAACTACAAACAGTAATGGACAACGTCCCAAAGAGCGATATCAAAATCCTGATGGGCGACATGAATGCGAAACTGGGAGGAGACAATACAGGAAGAGAACTCACCATGGGTCGTGAGGCCCTCGGTGAAATGAACGAAAATGGTGAACTCTTCTCAGACTTCTGCGCCTTCAATGATTTGGTGATTGGTGGCAGTGTGTTCAAACACAGGGATATACACAAGGCAACATCGATTTCACCAGATGGACACACCAAAAACCAGATAGACTTCATTTCAATCTCAAGGAAGTGGAGACGGAGCCTACTGGACACAAGATCGAGGAGAGGAGCAGATGTGGGTTCAGACCACTATCTAGTACAAGGGACTTTCAAGGTGAAGCTGAAAGCCTCGAGGATAGCTGGGGATAGGCCACAATGCAAGTTCAACACTCACAAACTGAAGGACACAATCACACAGGACATTTTCACTGCGACGGTCAGAGCAAAGCAGGAAACACTACGTGGCACCACTGAGGAATCATCCGTGGAAGACCATTGGAACTCTCTGAAGGTAATTTTCAACGAAACGTGCTCAACGGTTTTAGGAAGAAAGAAGAAACAAGACAAGGAATGGCTCTCAACGGACACTTGGAAGCTAATAGAGGAGAGGAGAAAGGTGAAAGAAAAAATGATTCAATGCAAAGATGGACAAGAGAAAGAGACGCTGAACTCAACTTACACAGCACTGGACAAAGAAGTGAAGAAGAGTGCCAGGAAGGACAAAAGACAATTCTACGACAACCTGGCTACTGAAGCTGAGAAGGCAGCAGGCAAAAAGGACCTGAGGACACTATATCAGATAACCAAGTCTCTATCCGGGAAGAGATCAACACAAGTGAAACCTATAAAAGACAGCCAAGGGAACCCAATTACCAAAGAAGAAAGACAGATTAAACAATGGGCGGACCACTTCAAAGGACTCTTGAATCGACCACCACCTACAACCCGTCCAGTAATACCAACAACAGCACGTACACAACTGCAAGTTGACACCAATCCTCCAACGAAAACTGAAGTCATGAATGCAATCAAGCTTCTGAAAGCTGGAAAAGCAGCTGGACCAGATGGAATACCCCGGAAGCACTGAAAGCGGACTCAGAAACGACGGCAGATATGCTGACTCCATTATTGCAAAAGATATGGAAAGAGGGAAAGGTGCCTACTGACTGGAAGAAAGGTTACCTGGTGAAACTACCAAAGAAGGGCGACCTAGGACTCTGCAAGAACTGGCGAGGAATCATGCTCCTGTCGACGCCAAGTAAAATCCTGAGTCGCATCATCCTGGAGAGAATCAAGGACGCACTGGATACAGAACTCCGACCAGAACAAGCTGGATTCAGGAAAGGCAAATCATGTTCTGACCAAATTGCAACTCTACGCATTATCATCGAACAAAGCATGGAATGGCAATCAAATCTCTACCTCAACTTCATAGACTTTGAGAAGGCCTTCGACAGCGTTGACCGCGAAGTAATTTGGAAACTACTCGAGTACTACGGCCTACCCCAAATATTCATCAACCTTATTCAACAACTGTACGACAACGGCACATGTCAAGTGATCCACAACGGAAAACTCAGCGAAGCGTTTGGAGTAAACACAGGAGTCAGACAAGGGTGCTTATTATCACCAATGATATTCCTAATTGTGGTGGACTGGATTATGCGTCAGACAGTGGGAAACGAGAAGACAGGGATATCCTGGACCGAGGTGAAGAACCTAGAAGACCTGGATTTTGCGGATGATTTATGCTTGATGTCACACAAAATCGAAGACTTACAAGCGAAAACCGACAAACTGGTCGAAGAAGCAGCAAAGACAGGACTGACTCCAGGTGAACATAGACAAGACGGAGGTCATGAAAATAACCAACCAACAACAGCAGCAACATCCAGTGCCAATCACCATCAACGGGAGGGATTTGAAAGAGGTTACTTCATTCACTTATCTAGGGAGCATTGTCTCAACCACAGGAGGAACGGACGAGGATGTCAAATCGAGAATCGGGAAGGCGAGAAACACATTCATCAACCTGAAACCAATCTGGAAATCTTCGACACTCAGCATCAACAACAAAATTCGGATTTTCAATACAAACGTGAAGTCAATTTTGCTTTACGGATCAGAAACTTGGCGGGTCACAAAGAATATTTCCAACAGCCTGTTGCAGACCTTTATCAACAACTGTCTTCGCTCCATACTGAAGATTAGATGGCCGGAAAGAATCACAAACAAGAGACTATGGGAACAAACGAAACAGGAACCAATCGCCCAACAAATATGCAGGAGGAAGTGGAGATGGATTGGACACTCCCTGAGGAGGCCGTTGAGTGACATCGCGCGTCAGGCCATTGCTCGAGTGGAACCCGAAAGGGAAGCGGCGAGTGGGACGTCCAAGGGTGACATGGAGGAGATCGTGTGAGGAGGAGTTGAAACAGTATGGAATAACATGGACGCAAGTGAAAAGTACAGCAGAAGACAGAAGCAAGTGGAGACGTGCAGTTGAAGCCCTATGTTCTACTAGGAACCCAAGGGAACAATAATAATAATAATACATAACTACTCTTAACTTTTTTATGGGTGGGTAGTTATTCAATTGTAGTGCTTTCCTCATTTAAACCTTCTGACTTAGTAGTTAAATTCCTGACTTGATTACATAAATACTCAGCTAAACCTACCTTTTTAAGTAATTCCATATTAATTTGTTTATTAGATATATCACACAGAGTCAAACAGTATTATTTACTGGGTGGGGAAGCTTCGAACACAATTTATTATTCATAATCATATCAATTATAATCACACAACTTCGAAACTTTCGGGTGTCTAGTTATGATTGTGAACAATAAATTGTGTTCGAAGCGTCATCCAGTAAATAATACTGTTTGACTCTGTGTGATATATCTAATAAACAAACTAATATGGAATTACATACTCCCACAGTGCCCAAGTTTTACACATATACTACCTTTATGATTTTAAGCGTGGTGAATAAAATTGAATTAAATAATTAATATGACCCGTTGCACAAGAAACAGCTGGCTCTCGTGGCCAAAGTGGTCTAGTGGATAACGCTTTGGCGTTTGAAACTATGGGCACTGAGTTCGAGCCTCAGTGGGAACATCATCACTCACTGCGGAATGCAGGTACATTCAGCTGACGAGTCCCAAATAGGACGAAGTGTGCATCCTGGATTCCACTGCTAGTCACCATCCACCAATTGACTTCTAATTACATGCCGAGACATCGTCGAAGCATCTGCATAAGAAGCCGACGTGTCAACCTGAGACCGAGCACTTCGGTTCAATCAATCGACGGAAAAATCTAAAATTGAATTGAATATCTATTAAAATATCGAAGTTTCTTATAGATACTGCATTATTAATGATAATTGTTAAATGAGTTAGTATAACAAACTGTTTCAAACTGCTTTTGTTTTTTTTTCTTTATATTATTTCAGGTGTAAAAGTTATTTTTCGTATAGCATTAACTATATTTGAACTTTTACTTGGAGATTCACAATCAAGGGGTAAATTGAATTCATTAGATAAATTAATGGAAAGTCTGCGTAGATTGCCACAAAATATAATCAGTGAAGAGGTGTTAATCAAGCATGTAAGTAACTGATTCATCTACTTTTATATTCATACGGGTATTTAACTTTTCCATATTGTTTTTCGACATGTTTTCTTACCTCACTGTAGTCACATTATGTAATTTCTATTGCGTAACTTGGTTGTACCTTAAAGATTTTTTTATTCCTTCACGTTCCCAGTGGAACATAGGGCTTCAAGCTAGAGTCTTGAAGTTTCTGTAGCAGTGTTTATTTTACAGGATGGGGTTGCTAGCCTCATGCCCAACCTTTCATATTCACCAGCATTATTTCTGGCTTATTGAGGTAAATGAGTGCGTCGGCCGGGGATCGAACCCCGAACCATGTGCGTGGTCGGCGAGCGTCCTAACCGCTATGCCACCGACGCACATACCTTCAAGATTAATGTTAAGAAATCCATTAGTATTTTAAGGACAATTTAATAAGATCTCTAATAGTACGAAAGTGAGTGTTCGCTTTTATTAACATATAAAGATATTTATTACTTTCTTATAGTAGCAAGCAGTTTAAGTAGATGGGAGTTAAAAGTTTGGGTGATAACTAGGCTGAACTACTGATAACATTTGTATTTCGCCCTGATTGGTTATACTGGACTGAAATGTCCGGTTTCCATTGACATGTTGGCTCCTAGTATGGATGCTTGGATGGTATCTGGTGAATAACATGATGTTGTTTGGTGGATGGTGAATAGCGGAAGAGTCCATAATGCTCATTTTATCACATCTATGTTGACCGATTTGCAGTACTACTCATCATCAACGAACATTGCATAGAATAGTAGTCAAATATCGACCTCAAATTCATTGACTTTGTAAAGGCCTTCGACAGCTTTGATTGCAAAGTAATTCTGAAACTGCTTCGACACTAAGCAGTGCATCAAGTCTTTATCAACATCATTCAACGGCTATCCGACAGTGCTACATGTCGAGTGAACAGAACAGAAAACTCTGCAAAGCTTTTGAAGCGAAGACAGGAGTAAGACAAGACTGCTTAATATTACCGATGACATTCCTGATTGTGGTGGAGTGGATCATGCAGCAGATGATGGGGAGAGAGAAGATAGGAAGACGTGGACGGATAAGGGAGTAGATGACTTTGCGGACGATTCATGTCTAATGTCACACAAAATCGAAGACTTACAGGCGAAAACCAACAGGATGACAGAAAAGGCAGCAGTAGAAGACAGGACTTCAAGTGGACATAAAGAAGGCAGAGCTGATGAAGATAACTAATCAGCCTATAAAAGTGACTGAAGCCAATAAAAATGTGTGCGAAGTATGCCTGTGAGTAGGTCATATACTACTGATAAGAAAAATTAATAAACGTTCAGATTGACCATTAGTCTCTGCCTACCACACTGAAGTAGTCTAAACACCAGATGACAGTTTCATCTCCTTCTTGTCTTGTTCATTAACAGTGTACTCCGGATGGTTCATCTCAGAAAGCCAAAATATTCAACCCAACCAAACTTTTTCAAGACCACTGAGTATACTGAGGACATAGAATCAAACCAAACGTTTGGTTGGTGTGAGTAATGATGCTTCTTAAGTCAAATTGTAGTATCAAGCAGATGACGTATTTTGATGATAATATTATCGATTTTTTGAAGATTAGCACAGTGATATTTTCTTCTTTTGATTGGACACTAACTAGTGTCATGTGTCCAGTCCTATCTTTGGTGCAGACTCACCATGTCACTAGGTGGCTAGCCATCACGGTGCAATGTGAATTGAATTGTTGGTATTAGATGGTTGGAGGTAATCGGTCACAGGAAGCCTTGCTTGACCTAGGTTTCGTGCTAGTTGGCACTCATCAGCAAGGTATATCTACAATCTTGAAGGAACTCATGTCCCTTCTGAGATTCGAACCCATGTCACAAACAACTAACTAGAACTTAAAACAATTCATTTTTAAAGAATGGTTACTGAATAAGGAATATTCTTTTCGATAACTTCATCATCAGGTTCTACAGTTATAAATACACATTATAGTGAATGAATGAATTAGTGTTATTAACAACATTAATGTTTAAATAACATCGAATTAATAATAATATCAATGGATTACAGTTCAATAGCATCAACATAACAATAAAGTGAATGTCAAAAAAATTAGGAAAGATAATAATACAAATTCATGAATTTATAGTCTCTACTGAAGGCCGACCAGGGCAGTAGTAGTGGCTGGAATTGCTTCTTTTGCACACAAAACACTGGTTGTTTCACACGAATCATGATAGTGTAACACCATTACGTAATCCCTAGTTAGACATTTATTATTATAATTATCTTAAAATGAGTTAACTGATTGAATTTTTTAAAATCTTTTTTTTTCATTTTGAAAATATAGTCACTTCGTTATACATTTATTACTAAACAAGAACTTATAAAACTTTACAAAACACAGTTAAAATGTATGGAGTTATCAACGTCATAATACAATACAAGCTAACCTATTCAACCTGTAAATTTGTAAAATATCCTTTGTGGATAATTTTATTATACATTTTTATTTAACAAATGTGGATCAGAAAGAAGATATCCTATGAATAGATGAATATTTTGCTTACTTTCTTTTGCCAAATAGTTATTTACCCCCCCCTTTTAAGATGGCACTGACAACTACTACAAGGTTATCTGTTGTTTTAACGAATCACAGATATTCAAATGTTGTATATATTCAAAATGTGATTGGTTAATTCAACTGCTTTGTTATTACCAGTGCCATAGAAACCAAGTCTTTCAATAAAAAGAATGTAAATTCGTTTTCTTCATGTAAAAAAAATTTAGTGCAAACTTTATTATTATTTTTATACAATCAGTTTTGTGTGTATATATATATTTTTGTCAGAAAAGCCTATAAAGAATACACGATTTATTTGGTAATAACTGTGATAATATCAGTGACAAGCATATTTTTCACTTGCATTCATGATGTATAGTGTGAAACTTGTTCTTAATTTTATTTAACAATAATTAACTTCTTTATACTTGTAAGATTTGTTTAATTCCCACCTAATTTCTCTTCCGTGTATACTAATGCCGGATAAATTTATATATTCGATATATTAGTCTGTAAATTCTTAAATTTGATTTCTCTATTATTTAGATGGTATGTATGAGCTGTTACAACTGCTGATTTAATTTTTTCACTTAATACATATTTACTTAAGGAATCTTGACAACCTGTTCTTCTTTTTGTACAGCAATACGGAGTAGCTTTCAAAATATAATCAATTCTTTGTTTGTTTTATAGTCAAATTTATTACATTGTTAAGGGGATTTTATGTGTGGAATATTATTATTATTGTTCCCTTGGGTTCCTAGTGGAACATAAGGCTTCAACTGCACATCTCCACTTGCCTCTATCTTCTGCCGTACTTTTCACTTGCATCCATGTTAATCCATACTGTTTCAGTTCCTCATCACACGATCTCCTCCATGTCACCCTTCGACGTCCCACCCGCCGCTTCCCTTTCGGGTTCCACTCGAGGGCCTGACGCGCGATGTCACCCAACGGCCTCCTCAGCGAGTGTCCAATCCATCTCCACTTTCTCCTGCATATTTGTTGGGTGATTGGTTCTTGTCTTGTTTCTTCCCATAGTTTATTGTTGGTGATTCTTTCCGGCCATCTGATCTTCAGTACAGAGCGAAGACAGTTGTTGATAAAGGTCTGAAACAGGCTGTTGGAAATATTCGTTGTGACCCGCCAAGTTTCTGATCCGTATAGCAAAATTGACTTCACGTTTGTATTGAAAATCCGAATTTTGTTGTTGATGCTGAGTTGAGTGACGAAGATTTCCAGATTGGTTTCAGGTTGATGAATATGTTTCTCGCCTTCCCGATTCTCGATTTGACATCCTCGTCCGTTCCTCCTGTAGTTGAGACAATGCTCCCTAGATAAGTGAATGAAGTAACCTCTTTCAAATCTCTCCCGTTGATGGTGATTGGCGGTGGATGTTGCTGCTGTTGTTGTTGGTTGTTTGGTTGGTTATTTTCATAACCTCCGTCTTGTCTATGTTCACCTGGAGTCCTGTCTTCGGTGCTTCTTCGACCAGTTTTTTGGAATATTGCTAGTAGTAAAATACAGTCTGGTTAGTAAAAATGCGTTTAGAACTTTGTCGGAGGTAAAGTATGAACCCTATAATCTTTTAGCTTCACTGATTTATTTTTTGACAGGATATATTATTAGCCGTGCTTACTGTCAATGAAGATAGACGCAGTTAGTCGCGAATGATTTCTGTTGCTTAACAATTGATTTAAATTTGTCTATCAGTTAATTAGATTGCCCACTTATATGTAGGCCGAATACATTTAAATTCAGATAGAGCAATAAGAAGACGTAATTTGTCTAAAACGTGTAATGTATTTGCTCAACACATTTCGAATAATCTGATCACACACGGACTTGTCATAGGAATATATATGAAATTAATAAAGAGGTAAGAGGTGAGAAAATAGACTTAGATCAAGTTAAAAGGACACACTGAAGGTGAAAATAACAATGAAGATCACTAAACCAAATAACAGAGGTATTAGTATATCTGCCATAACTGTTATCAAAACAATGTTTGCCAAGGAAGGTAGGCTTAGTGTGATGACGAATTGTTTTTGAAGGCATAAAGGTGGTTTAAACTTTCTAATTGCTAGGACTTCCACAAACTTTAGGATACACCCCAAACACGTTTTATAGATACGTTTAAAAGATCTGTTAACGTCAATTTTATGTTCTGTCTCTATAATATGTTTCGCAACAGAAGAGCTAGGTCTCCTGTTTTCGCCATTAATAGGTTCTGAAGATTCCATTTGTTTCTGGAGCCATTTAGGAATATGCTCTGAAGCCCTTTATTCATTGAGGTAACTTCTGAATTATTTTAAAATGTATTTTCACCTTGTCAGCATTTTTTTTAATTTTATTCCTTTATGTTCCTAGTGGAAATTATGAAGTTTCCATAGAAGCAGTGTTTATTTTTACGGGATGGGGTTTCTAGCTTCATGCCAAACCTTCCTTCTTTACCCATCTAATTACTGGCTT